AAAGAAAGACCTCTAGAGGACATGGAATTTGTGCTGAGCTGTAGAGATGGCAGGAACGGGAAAGGCTTTAAGTTATGGTCTTCTGTGTCAACAATCCAAATTTCATTTAAAAGCCTAACCTTCTTAAGCAGGATCTCTTGAAAACAAGCTGAATTTGATTCACTTTAATGCCTTGAAGCTACAGTCAACTTTGACAACATGACTTTCAAGGTATAAAATCTGGGAGAAAATACTTTACACACACTTTAGTATTTACAGCACTAGAAATATTATTTGCTTTTATAAATTTACTAGAGGCCCGGTGCATGAAATTCATGCATGGGTGTGGTCTCTAGGCCTGGCTGGCAATTGAAGTGTGAGCATCTGGCATGGAAAGGCAGGTCCAAGCTGACCTCTGGACCCTGAGCAGCACCTGGACCCCTGGGCCCCGCGCTCCCCCTTCCACCTGAGTCACAGCGCCTGAGTCCCCACGCGGAGATGCGGTGAGCGTGGCTGGATGCAACATGGGCCTCTGGGCCGCCCAGCAGCACCGCACAGAAGCCGGGTGGGTGGGCAGCACGCTCTCTCCTGGCTGGCCTCACAGACCGGCTCCTGCATGAACTTACAGGGAGCTTGACTGACCCCTGCTGTCCCAGTGGCTGTGGCCTGGCTCACCCGGAAGAGGCCCTTGCAGGCACCCGGCACCTGAGTGCAGGGGTTTCCCTGGTGCACAAGCCCTGGAGTCCCGGGGGAGGTAGCAGGGGGAGTGAGAGCAAGCTCAGTGGACACCCCACATTCTCACTGCACCTCCGTCCCCATCACCCCCACCCACACCCTCACCCTCAGGTAGCAGGTGAGAGGTCGCAGCACGTCACTGATGCCCACCATGTTCCGCACCACCCCCTGGTGGTCAGCACATGTCATAGCGAATGATAGAACTCCCGGTCTCCTGGTCAAACGACTGCCTGAGGGGACAATTTGCATATTAGGCTTTTATTTATATAGGATATCACATGATAAAAAGGGAGAAGTATGCTTTATGAAGACCTTGTAACCCACCCTTGTATTCCTTTAATATTGTTTCTGTTAAAGTGTTTTTATTTTTTTAAGTGTTTTTATAGAAGACGAATTGTTAACTAATATATAACTGATGGATAAGCTGCACATTTGTGGAAGAGTTCCAGGAACTGCTGGGGAAGGAGGCTGATTCCAGCAACTAGATATTCTGGCTCCAGGGGGATTGCTGATTCTCAAGCATAAAAACCCGACCTTCGTTGCCCTGGCTGGGTGGCTCAGTTGGTTGGAGTGTAGTCCCATGCACTGAGAAGTTGCCGATTGGATCCCTGGTCAGGGCACATACCTAGGTTTTGGGGTCAATCCTCAGTCAGGATGCATATGAGAGGTGGCCGATTGGTGTTTCTCTCATACTGATGTTTCTCCTCCTCTCTCTCCTTTCCTCCCTCTCTAAAATCAATTTTTTTAAAAAAATCCTCAGGTGAGGATTAAAAAAAGAAAGCCCTAACTGGTATGGATAAGTTGGTTGAGCATCATCTTATGGTTTGATTCCCAGTCAGGGTACATGCCCAGGTTGCGGGTTTCATCCCCAGTCAGGGTGCATTCATGAGGCAACTGATTGGTGTTTCCCTCTTTCTCTCCCTCTCCCTTCTTCTCTCTCTAAAAGAAACAAAAACATTTTTTTAAAGTTAAAAAAAAAATAAACCAGACCTATGCTTGACCAATTTCAAGATAATCATTGGCATGGACTATGCTGTCTTACACATAGAGACCTTTCAAATACCCTCCTCCCCGGGTTCTTTGTTCTGCTTTCCCTCTCCCTCCTAATGAAACTCCCCACTGGCGGTGAGATGTTAAGATGGGCTTTGGGTGCGAACCCCCCCACTTTCTGAGTTTGCTGGCATTGGAATAAACCACTTCTTTCTTACCAGCACCTGCCTCATGAGTTTGGCTTTCCTTGTGGCAGGCAGCTGAGACCTGCCTTCAGTTACAGTTGTACTGAGCAGCGGCTAACTAAAATCTTAGTCTAACCAAAGTTGACTTGATAGTAGCAGGAAATGCAGTTTGGAATTACTTGTATTATGCTATCTTCACAGTGCTGCATTTATGTTCTATTATGATTACAAGCACTGCTTAACAGAATACTCCAGTTGTAAATAAATTCTCAAAATTTCAGTAGTCCCTTGGGGGTCAGGAAGAGAGGCTGTTGCTCCCCATCTCACAACTCAGCCTTCAGTTTGTGTTTCAAATCAAACTGAGAGCTTCTATAGGGCTCCCATCTTAAATCACGGGCATCTACTAAGTCCATCTTCAAAAAATGGAGGGGTTGGACCTGAAACGCAGCGCAGATGTTTTCAAAGTTCAGGGTTCTTAATCACAGCTGCACATCGCCCTCCACGGAGGAGCCGGACGACAACTGACGTCCTCCCCTGCACCTGGCGGGCACGGTCTGCCCCACTTGACAACGGGCTCCAGGAGAGTCGTTTGTAGACACAAGGGACATCCACTAGCTCAGCTCTCCGACGAGGTAGTGTTTTCCGCCTCAGCACTTCCCCAGGTAGCTTCCTCCTCCTTTCCTTCCAGAACCTGCCCCGCCCCGCCCCCAGGGCGGAGTCGCACTGAGGCCCCGCCCCCAGCACCGCCCCTTTTGCGGGACCCGCCCCAGGGTGAGGCGACGCCGGCCTCAGGGGCGGGGCCGCGCCCCTCACGGCCGCTGTGCTGCCGCCGCCCCGAAAATGGCGCCGGGGCGGTTCTGGCGCTGCTGCCTACACGGCGCAGGCTGGGTGCCAGTGCTGTTCATCACTTTCGTGGTGGCGTGGTCCTACTACGCGTACGTGGTGGAGCTGTGTGTGTGTGAGTACCGGGCGGGCGGACGGCGGGACGCGGCCCTCAGCGGCGCCGTGGGGTGGACGCTCGCTCCGCAGGGCTTCCCGGAGGAGCCGGGGCGGAAGTGTGTGGCCGGCTCTGCGTCTGTGACGCTCGCAGCGAAGAGTCGGGCCGGGGGGCGGCGGCCGTGGGGGCCGCGGAGGCCGCGAGTGCGGCGGCGGGCGGGGAGCTCTGTAGTCGCGTCCGCCGAGGGCGACTGCCGCGGACGCGACGGGCGGCCGCGTCCCAGCCTCCCGCGCTGCCGGCGCGTGGGAAGTTCATTATTTCACGTCAGAGTCAGGAACTCGCAGACAGTACTGCTTTTAGACAAAGAATAAGTGAGGTGATGATCGTCCTCGCTGCTGTTTTCTAACGGAGGTTTCCTCAGATGTGGAGATCTCCTTTTATTGTCCTTAACTGTTTCCCTCGTTAGTTCTCACCCGAGTCCCTGGAAAAGGGAAGGAACATCCCGTTACACTTCAGAGGTTTAGGACACTGGTTTGGTTAGGTTGTGCTTAAGATGGAAGGAAATTGGCTGTCAATCCAAACATTGTTCTGGCTGTTGCGCGGTTGGTCTGTCCTAAGGGATAGGCGTGGTGCGACCGCTCAGATTGACACCGGCCTGTGCCTGTCTGTCCGCCGGCAATGTCCGCTCTTCGGGAAACTTGGGGCCACACCGTCTGCGGGGTTTGTCAGAGCAGAGTCCACGCTATCAAAAAAAGGACCGCTGTTATATATACTTAAAGAAAGAGCCACATGAGATAGAAACGAGTTGTGAGAATGGAAAGCTGTGCCGCCCGCTCCGCTTGAAGGTTGGCACCACCAGGACTTCCGCAGTTATGGCTGCGGGTTTGTACAGCTCTCAAATAAGTACTTGGCAAAAACCGAGTTCTGCACGTGGAGGAGAAAGCTTTGCCTCAGAAGGCTTGAAGATAGGTTTTTAAATGAAACTATCCACCTTTAAGAAAATTATTTTGTAATTTGGAATATTTAATTCCAAGGAAAATAGAACCAGAATAAATTAGTTGTGGAATACATTTCCAAATAATAATCTGCTGAATATTATTTAGTCTCATCTTTTTGGAGACCAAAATGTTTACTATCAATGATTTTCGAATCAATTAAGGTTGGCTAGAGTTAGGTATTTTTTTTTTTTTTTTGAGACTACTTCCAGTAGGTGATAGTGATTATAGGGTTCTCATCAGCTTATGGTAATACTTTATCTTGTTTACTCTGAAGTGGGCATTCATTACAAAAGTTGTACCTGTCTTATTTAATTCTGTCAGAAGATTGTCCCCCACCCTATTTTAATCCCATAGTGGTTTTGAAGTAAAGCCTCTGACGGAACACTAAAAATGTGCATTTATGTTGAAATTGCACATTTAATCTATCGAAAGATGACATCAAACATAAAGAAAGGAAAATGAACATGAATTAAGAAGTGCTGTGTGCACTAATGGGGATGGAGGGGGTCATTTCATCATTCTTCCTTCAATATGCCACAGATGTAAGAAATGAGACTGAGCAAATAGGCTCTTTGGTTAGGTCACACAATTGTTGAGTGGGTATTAGAATGTACCACATCTCTCTATTATACATATAATTTTTAGTGAGCCATGAGGGTATTTTAAAATACTGATGGTGAAAGGTCTTACATAGTGCCTGTATTTAATACTTATAAGTTATCTGAGTTAGAGTAGGGAGAATTTGGGAGGTCTGCTGGACTTGAGCATAAAAACGTTCAGTCTCATATTCAAACTTTTCTTTAAATTATTCATGTATATTTGTTTTAATAAGCACAGACCCTCCCACTGAAATACATTAATATATAACTTTTTTATATTTTTTTATTAATATATAACTTTAAATTGAGAGAAGTGTCTTAATGTGCTGTTTTCATAATTTTTATAAAATTTTCATAGCTTCTGGTATTCTTTATCAAACTATATGGGAAAGGATGATAATAATTATCTTTACATGTGTTAATTTATTTAATGCTCATAATAATCTCCATAAAGTAGGCCCTGGCCGGGTAGCTCAGTTGGTTAGAGCATCCCTGATGCACCAAAGTTGTGGGTTCATTCTCCAGTCAGGGCACAGACAAAAGTCAGCTAGTGAATGCATAAATAAGTGGAACAACAAATCTGTGTTCCCCCCCTCTCTCTTTCTCTCTCCCTCTCTCCCCTTCCTCTCTCTCTAAAATCAATAAAAATAAATTACTATGCAAGACAAGTCTACTTGTTTATCCAGACCTGGACACTCGGGCACATTTCAGTATTATTTATGATCCATTTGTAAAGGGTGTCCCAAAATTCACGCAAGATTTGAATTTTGCGTGAGCATTAACAACAACAACAACAAAAAATAAAAGCCTAATTTTACTTGGTTTATTGAATCAGATTCTAATATCTGTTGCCCTTTGATTTCAACCCCTTCAATTTGATAAGCATTACCAAGTACCAATTAATGGCCCAGGAGCAGGAACAGTGAAGACCACTGCTTTGCGTATGTGCCAGCAAAGCCGTGGAGGCCATTTACCCGATGTGCTATTCCATACATAACCCTATACTGTATACTTTATGAATCAATAAAAAATTTACAATTTTTAATTATAAACCTGTGTTTTCTATCAAAATTACTTCTTGCGTGAATTTTGGGACACCCTTTATAAGTCAGCGATTTTCAACCCATGTGGCGAGGCACACTGGTGTGCTGCAAGAATTTTTAAAACATACAGTACCTGGCCCTAGCTGGTTTGGCTCAGTGGATAGAGCATCGGCCTGAGGACTGAAGGGTCCCAGGTTGGATTCCGGTCAAGGGCACATGCCCGGGTTGTGGGCTTGGTCCCCAGTGGGGGGTGTGCAGGAGGCAGCCCACCAATGATTCTCATCATTGATGTTTCTCTCTCTCTCCCCCCCTCCCCCTCCCCCCTCCCTCTCCCCCTCCCCCCTCCCTCTTCCTCTCCCCCCTCTCCTTCTCCCTCTCCCCCTCTCCTGCTCCCTCTCCCTCTCCCTCTCCCCCTCTCCCTCTCCCTCTCTCTCTCTCCCTCCCCTTCCCCTCTTCCTCTCCCCCTTCCTCTCTGAAATCAATAAAAATCATACAGTACCTATTTAGTCAGGGGCACTGACCTCTTTTCCCTTAGATTGTCAAATAAAAAAAATGACAACAGCCAACACAATAATAGCCATCTGATGCCCTGGCCTATGTGGTTCAGTGGTTAGAGTGTCAGCCTTTGGACTGAAGGGTCGAGGATTCAGTTCCCAGTTAAGGGCACATACCTGGGTATGGGTTTGTTCCCCAACCCTGGTCAGGGCACATGCAGGAGGCAACCAGTGGATGTGTCTCTCTCACATCAATGTTTTTCTCTCTCTCTCCTGCTCCCTTCCATTCTCTCTAAAAATCAATGGAAAAATATCCTTGGGTAAAGATTAACAAAATTATAAATATATTTAGGATTGTTGTTTCCTCTTGATGAATTGACCTTTTATCATTGTGAAATGACCTTCCTACTCCTGGTGATATTGTTTACTTTGAAATATACTTTGGCAAATATAAACATGTCTACTAATCTTTCTTTGAATTAGTGTTAGCATGGTATGTCTTTCTCCTTCCTTTTACTTTAACCTGTTTATATTTGTATATTTAAAATGTATTTGTTTGCCCGGCCGGTGTGGCCCAGTGGTTGAGCGTCGACAGACCTATGAACCAGGAGGTCACGGTTCAATTCTCTGTCAGGGCACATGCCTGGATTTCAGGCTCCCCCGTGGGGGTGTGCAGGAGGCGGCCAATCAGTGATTCTCTTTCATCATTGATGTTTCTATCTTTCTCTCTTCCTTTCTGAAATCTATAAAAAATATATTTTAAAAAATGCATTTTTTGTAAACAGCATATAGTAGGTCTTGTCTTTTTTTGTTTGTTTTGTTAATCCTCATCTGAGAATATCTTTTACATTGATATCTAGAAAGACTGGAAGGGAGAGAGAGAGAGAGAGAGAGAGAGAGAGAGACAGACAGACAGACATTGACATTGATGTGAGAGAGACACACCGATTGGTTGCCTCCCACACATGTCCAGACATGGCCAGGAATTGAGCCAGCAACTGAAGTACGTGCCCTTGACCGGAATCAAACCCTCGACCCTTCAGTCCATGGACCAGTGCTCTAACCAGTGATCCAAACCGTCTAGGGCAGGTCTTGTTTTTTTTTTTAATCCAATCTGAAAATCTCTGCCTTTTAAAAAATTGACATGTAGCATCATATTAGTTTCAGGTCTACAGCATACTATTCATATGTATCTATATTGAAAAATGATCACCACAATAAATGTAGTTAACATTCATTACCAGAAATAGTTACAAGTTTTTTTCCTTGTGATGAGAACTTTTAAGATTTATTCTCTTAGCAAGTTTCAAATATACAATACAGTATCATTAACTATAGTCACCATGCTGTACAATCTCTGCCTTTTTAACTGAGGTGTTTTGACTATTTACATTTAATGTGATTATTGAAATGGTTAAGTTTAAGCCTTCTCATTTGTTATTTTTTAATCTGTCCTATCCTTCCTTCTGCCTTCTTTTGAATTAATCAACTTTTAAATGATTTAAAATTTCTGAATTATTCTTATGATTTTCTCTTCTTTGTTGGCTTATTAGCTGTAACTCTGTTATTTTAGTGATTGCTTTAAGGTTTATAGCTTACATCTTTTAACTTATCATAACCTATCTTCAAGTGATATACAATTTCACATGCTTTTACCTTATAAAAGCATTCCTTCATTTCTTCCCTCCAAGCCTTTATGCTATTGTTGTCATACATTTTATGTTGTAAAACTCACACTATATTGCTATCATTTTGTTTAAACAAACAGCTTATTATTTTTTTAAAGATTTGAATAATAAGAAAACAAATGTTATGTATTTACCCATGTAGTTACCATTTCTAGTGCTCTTCATTCTTTTTTTTTTTTTTTTTTAAATATTTTATTGATTTTTCACAGAGAAGAAGGGAGAGGGACAGAGAGCCAGAAACATCAATGAGAGAGATCGATCAGCTGCCTCTTGCACGCCCCCCACTGGGGGTGTGCCCGCAACCAAGGTACATGCCCCTGACCGGAATCGAACCTGGGACCCTTCAGTCTGCAGGCCGATGCTCTATCCACTGAGCCAAACCGGTTCGGCATGCTCTTCATTCTTATTTATTTATTTTGTATTGATTTGAGAGAGAGAGAAGAAACATCAGTTTGTTATTCCAGTTATTTATGTATTCATTGGTTGATTTCTTGTCTGTGCCCTGACTGGAAATCGAACCCCCAGCCTTGGCATATTGCGACAACACTCTAACAAACTGAACTACCCAGCCAGGGCTCTTCTCTCTTTCTTTCTCTCTTTCTCTCTCTCTCTCTTTCTCTCTCTCTCTCTCTCATCTCTCTCATCTCTCTCATCTCTCTCATCTCTCTCATCTCTCTCTTTAAAATCCTCACCTGAGGATATTTTTCCCCATTGGGTTTTAGAGAGGAAGGCAGGGAGGGAGGAAGAAAGGGAGAGAGAAACATTAATGTGACAGAGACACATCGATTGCCTCCTGCACTTGCCCCAACCAGGGCAGGGCTTGAACCTGCAACCTAAGTATGTGCCCTTGACTGGGATTCAAACCCAAGACCCTTCAGTGGGCAGGCCAGTGCTCTAACCATTGTACATACCAGCCAGGGCCAGCCTAGGACCTTTCTGATGGTGACATTGCTAAAGCACTGGTAGGAGTATAAAATGGTACAACCCCTAAAACAGGGATTTTGGGGATAAGTGGACAGATTTACTTTTGGTCCAGTAATCCTACTATTAGGAATCTACACTGAAAATAAAATTCCATAAATGACACATGCATAAAATTATTTATTGCCACATCATTTGTAGCAGCAGAAGATTAGAGACAACCCAGATGTCTATCAATAGAGGCCTAATCGTATTACTGGAACTCCCATACAATGGAGTACTGTGCAGTGCTTTACAAACAAGCCATGATTGTGTCCATGTACTCATGTATAATGATGGAAAAAAAGGTGTGGAATGGTTTATAAATGGAGAAATGGGAAATATAGGTTGGATAAAAGTAGGTTTACAATTGTGAGTATAGGAAACACAGAGCTTATACTTGTATTATTATTTATTAATGTATTATTTTCCATATAAACAACTGTGTAAACCTACTTTTACCTCACCCTGTATGTACTTACTTGCTTATTTTACTAAAAGAAATATTAGAAGGGTAAAACAGACATTAATAAAAATGATTACTTGGGATGAGGAATAAAAGCCAGGCCTTTCTGAGTACCTCTTTATAGAGTTTTGACTTTTAAACCATTGATACTTTATTCAAATTGAAAAAAATAAAAGAGGGGAATAAAAGCAAACAGTTCAGTTTGAAATCATGAAATAAATGAACTTAATTTTTAAATTATTTTTTCTTTTTAAAAATGAACTTGATTTTATATAAAGTTGATACTATAACTACACACAGGAAATAATTATTTCAAATGACTTTTGAACATAGTACTCCTTCGTGGGATATAGTTTAAAGCCAAGCCAAATAAATTTAAAAGTTGCAAAGAAATCTTAAACTAGTATGCAGTTTTTAAACTATTTTATGTATATTTTAGGAAAAAACAAGTAAGTAAATTAATTAGGAACTAAGATTTTCATTGTAAAAGCAAAGAGATACAAATATGATACCAAATAAATTATTTAAAAACCTCTATAGAGATACATCACAGACTAAATAACTCTGAGTGCCATAGAGGAGATTCCTGTTCATTCTTTAGGTAGCATTAAGGAAAGAGCTAAAGAGACTTCAAACTATAAACATATGGATACACTTAAAATGAACAAAGGTCTGGAAAAAATGTGTAATGTGATTGCAGTGTTAATGATAAATAATTTGAATTTTAGCATTTTAGTGTTTTTAGGACTTTTTGTGCAATTCTAAAGTTGCATTAGTGTTCACGTTTTAAAACTAAACTTTATTTTTATGAAAATGATATTAAGATGAATAGTCAACAGGCGATAAAATTTATGTACAAAATATTTAAAGTATATTTATTCACTGTTTTTTCTTTTATTCTAGTTACTCTTTCTGGAAATGGAGAAAATGGTAAGACACTTTTAGTCTCAGTTTAAGTAGACTTCTTATGGTATCATAATTGCAACCTTCCTACTTTTTATTTAGTGATGACTATTTGTGCTTTTATTTTTAGAAAGACAATATATATATTTTAAGCTTAAGTAACTAAAATGAGATGTAATACTGGGTTTATTTCTATACATTCAATATATTCTTTTTTTAAAAAATAAATGTTTATTGATTTCAGAGAGGAAGAGAGAGGGAGAGAGAGATATAAACATCAATGATGAGAGAATCATTGATCGGCTGCTTCCTGCACACCCCCTATTGGAGATCGAGCCCACAACATGGGCATGTGCCCTTGACCGGAATCGAACCCGGGACCCTTCAGTCCACAGGCCATCGCTCTATCCACTGAGCCAAACCGGCTAGGGTTCAATATATTCTTCTTTGCACTATTAGTAAGTTGTTATTTTGTAAGGCACCTAGTACCCAAACTTCTTTGGTATACTTATAGATATATTTCTGCCTTGTATAGACTTTAGAATTCTATAGTAATAGTTTAGATATTTAATATCAGTTTTAGCTAGGGTGGAGGAAGGAATTTTATTTTCTTTTGTTTGTGCATTTGTTAAAAATAGCACTGACAATTAGTTAAATAGGCAGACTGTAAAAATGAAGATTGCTAGTTCATTTTGAAAGGGAATTAAAGTTTTTATAATGACTAGTCAATGACAATATTTTGAGAAAAATATTTGCTCAAAATTCACTGAGATAAAATAAATTTTTCTATCTATTGAGATCAAATTTCAAAAATAAAATTTGATTTGAGATATGGAAATCCAGAGGATTTCTACAACAGTTGAATAGTTAGAAATTAATATTTATCCTTATTACTGGAAATAATTAGGCATTCATTATGTAAATCTCAAGTTACCTTTGAATCTGGTTTCTCATTAACAGAAGAAACTCAATCTTGGTAGGCATGCTTTTCTTCCTTTAAATCAGTACTGTTTTCCATATGTTGAATACACACATACAGAATGCAGAGAATTTCTGAAATTCTTACAACAGAATTTTAAACTTGTATCATTATTTCTCATTATTTCTTGGGGCTATTTTCCCCATGTCTTCCAAAGAGTGTTTTGATGATGTTTTTTGTTTGCTTATTAGTCTTTAATTCAGTTATAGGTGATATTTAAATCAGATATTTTGATTTATAGGTTCAGTTTTTCTTTCAGCTTTGATTTAATTTGCTTAGGTAACTTTTACTTTATATATTTCTTCCAGCATATATATGACCAGAAGTTTGTTATTAGCAATCAAATTGATTCAAACTTACTTAAAAGCAATATTTTTTATTCTTTACATCATATTTTTTAAAATATATTTTTATTGATTTCAGAGAGGAAGGGAGAGGGAGAGAGAGAAACATCAATGATGAGAGAAAATCATCTATCGACTGCCTCCTGCACTCCCCCTACTGGGGATCGAGCCCACACCCAGGTATGTGCCCTGACTGGGAACCGAATCATGACCTCCTGGATCAGGGGTACTCAAACTTTTTAAACAGGGGGCCAGTTCACTGTCCCTCAGACCGTTGGAGGGCCGGACTATAGTTTAAAAAAAAACCATGAACAAATTCTATGCACACTGCACATATCTTATTTTGAAGTAAAAAAACAAAACAGGAACAAATACAATATTTGTATTTGCATGTGGCCTGAGGGCTGTAGTTTGAGGACCCCTGTCCTGGATCATAGGTTGATGCTCAACCACTGAGCTACACTAGCCAGGCTGCATCATAATTTTGATGCTGGAGGGGCAAGTCCCTAGTGGCAACTCAAACCCAGAGCCAAGAGGTATTTGGGCTTGGAGCAGAAAAGAATTCAAGACTAGAGCCAGAGAAGAGGTTAAAGTGGAAAAGCAGGTTTTATTGAGCAGAGGGGACAAGCAAGAAAAGCCACTCTACTGGACTCTCCTCACCAAAGAAGGAAGATAGATCCCAACCATCTCTACAGGTTGACTTACATCTGTTTGTAGTTTCTATGGAAAATTGCTGGTATGGGGAAATAGAGAGTGGGAAAAGGTTGAGAATAACTCTGACCTTTACAAGGTATATTTTGTGGCATTGTGTTTTCCCTTTATGGCAGTGGTTCTCAACCTTCCTAATGCCGCGACCCTTTAATACAGTTCCTCATGTTGTGGTGACCCCCAATTTCATTGTTACAAATTGAACATAATTAAAGCATAGTGATTAATCACAAAAACAATATGTAATTATATATGTGGTTTCCGATGGTCTTAGGCGACCCCTGTGAAAGGGTCGTTCGACCCCCAAAGGGGTCGCGACCCACAGGTTGAGAACCACTGCTTTATGGTATGGGTAAATGATAAGGTATGGGTGAGTAGCTGTTAATCAATCTTCGCAGGAATTTTCTTTGTCCAGAGGCTCTTCATGATCTGCTTGCATCTCCAGCCAGCTGAGTTTCATGTCAGACAGCACGTAGCAGGCCCCTGACTTAACTTTGACTTTAGTTAATTTATATAGCTCTCATGCCCCTTTCCTATATCAACTTGATAATAATAATGATCTGTTAAGTACTTACTATATTACCGGCATTATGCTGAGAGATATATTTTACCTGTTTTGTAACTGAGGGTTACAATTTTTAAAAGCAAAAGCCATTTTGTTTTTGTTCTTATGGAGAGCTGAAATATTCTAAAAATATGTTAAATGTTTTTTAACATATTTCTGGAGTATATTGTTTTATATTTTGGCCGTAGTGTAAGTAACTAAATGACCAAGTTTAAAGTAATTCTAGGTTACCATTTATTTCAAAGCTATATGATATTATGTAGATGAGGATTAATAGACTTGATTGAATATCAGGCCAGGCAAAAGTATAAATCAGTGAAGTGAGTTAAGAAGTTGACAGTTGGTATAACAGTAGGAGACTGAGCTCCAGCATGCTTTTCCAAAGGAAAAAAACAAGTAAAGAAATTGTATTGAATCCACTGGGTAGAACACTGGAGGGAACAGAGATGATACAAAGTACCGATTTTGAGAATCCAGAATTTTCAATGAGGATTACAATCAGTTTTAATGGAAGTGAAAATAAGGCAAATTTGAACATAAGAGGAGGTAGTGGTATCTGTCCTGGCGCCCAGCACATTTGGTTGTGCCCCAGGGGGTCCAGAAAAAGGGAAGGTACAAGTTACCCAGACACTTCAAGAGTATGTTATCATAGATGCAAAAAGACAGATAGGCTCAGTTAAGGTAAAGTTTGACCTTGTCAGTGAAGATACAGGCCTAGGACATAACTGCCCACCATAACTGCTTTTAGTTAAAGTTTAATTTCAGACCATCCTTTGTGGTTACTTTAGGTCTCTGAGTTGACAATTTTTTATTTTATTTTAAAAGAAACTTTTTTAAAACCAAAAACATAAGGAAAAATAACCTCAGACCAAAGGAAGAACAGGATTTATTATGTGCCAGGCATTGTCGTGTTTTGCATTTATTATATTAGCTCATAAATATTAAGCAACTAACTTTAATGAATCTAGTGGTTTATTGAAGTCTGAGCAAATTATTTGGGGAGTAGAGTATGAAGGGGTAATGAATTCATAAGGTAATGGAGAAGGTTTTTGTGGAAGAAGTAGTATTTGATCTGAAATTTAAAATGGGTAGAACAAACTTTTAAAAAAATATATTTCTATTGATTTTAGTGAGAGAGGAAGGGAGAGGGATAGAGAGATAAAAACATCGATGAGAGAGAAACACCGATTGGCTGCCTCCTGCACATCCTCTACTGGGGATTGAACCCGAAACCCGGGCATGTGCCCTGACCGGGAATTGAACCAGTGATCACTTGGGTTCATGGGTCAACGTTCAATGAGTGAGTCACACAGGTTGGGCATACTTGTGTTTTTTAGTGGGTTTGTGATGTTGAATTCTAAACTTAGAATTTAAGTACCTGGTAGATAGTTCTTGCTTCTTGTGGAAATCATTCTCACTTCTTCCAAATAGAAAACTACAGAACCCAACAGTGAGTTAATATTTGGAGATAAAGATGTTGTAGTCTTACACTAATTTATTTGGGAAAGAATTATGACAGAAATTCAAAGTGGCTGAAATTTTTGATTACCCTATGTTGAAAGGAGAATGAAATTTAGGATATCTTTCTGAACAATCCAAGAATTAAATTTTCTAATGTACTGATTATTTGCTGTGTTATGAACTTCCTTTATTTTCAGTTCATAGTTAATGTTCATAGTAATGGAACATTTATTTAATATTCATAGCAATGGATTTAATGTTCATAGTAATGGAATCTGGTTTAAGTCATTGAAAATCTAACTTTTAGAAGAGCTTGAAATGCAACCAGTGAAAGAGGTGTTTCAACTTATATCTTCAGCAACTTAATAAAATCAAATCTCATCGCAGACTAATATTACAGAAACTATAAACCATGCTCTTAAATACAGAATGCTCCTTCATATCTGTAATATTACATCATGCAGATAAAGGACTTTATATATTTTATATCTTTAGTGTGTTATAATTATTTTTTATTAGGTTAAACCTCCTGACCCTAAATATTGTGTTTTAATGTAATGCTTTTTCCTGTTTTCACCAGGATTCAATGAAATATTATTTGTTTTTATTTACCAGGAAAGGCCGTTGTTTACCTTGTGGCTTTTCATCTGTTCTTTGTTATGTTTGTATGGTCCTATTGGATGACAATTTTCACCTCTCCCGCTTCCCCCTCCAAAGAGGTAAATTTAATGTTGGTAAATTGCCAAATGCTGTAACAATGGAAATATTTTCCCTGTGTTACCTTTGTTAAAGCTTTATTATATGGTGCATTTGTTCTGTTTCCATTCATGGATCCTGCTTGGTAATTCTGCATTGTGGATGACTCATAAGCCTATTCTCAGATACAACTCTACTGACATAGCATAGTTAAAGATTAATGATGTGTTAAAGTTTAGCTGTACTTATATTCTTCTGCCATGTTATATTTTCTTAAAGACATACTTATGTTACTGGAGTAAAAAAATCTTAAGGGACAGAATGAAGTTAGAAAAGTAGGTTTTATTTTTAGAAATCTTTTAACATATTTCTTGGGTCTGAATGAGTATGCTACAACTAAAGAGTTGATTTGATTGTGGGAATAAATTGTCTAGGGCAGTGGTTCTCAACCTTCCTAATGCCGCGACCCTTTAATACAGTTCCTCATGTTGTGGTGACCCCCAACCATAAAATTATTTTCGTTGCTACTTCATAACTGTAATTTTGCTACTGTTATGAATCGTAATGTAAATATCTGATATGCAGGATGTATTTTCATTGTTACAAATTGAACATAATTAAAGCATAGTGATTAATCACAAAAACAATATGTAATTATATATGTGTTTTCCGATGGTCTTAGGCGACCCCTGTGAAAGGGTCGTTCGACCGCCAAAGGGGTCGCAACCCATAGGTTGAGAACCGCTGGTCTAGGGTATTGCTTGTTACACCTTAATTTGGCTAGTGTTTCTTCTAGTTGAAGGTTCTATCTGGAAAATAATGTGAGTGAACGTTTACATAGAGTAAGTTTCAAGACCAGTGTCTCTCTCTTGCCTTGACATTGCCTGAATTCACCTTTACCTGTAATTTAATATAGCTAGATGTTTAATATATTCCCTAGAGTTAGGATCGTCTGAGTTTGGTTTTTCTGCTGTAACATATTACTTAATGAATCTGAGCCTTAGTTTCTCATTGGAAAATGAAGTTAATAATAATGCCTGTCTCTGTAGGATGTTTTTGTGAGAATTAAATGAGATTCACTCATGTAAAGCTTTTGATATAGTACCTGCCACATGATTAGCACTCAGATATTAGCTGATGATGACAATGTAATTATTTCTCTTCATAATTCTTTAAATTTATAGACCAGATGTTTAAAATGATCAACTTCCACTTAACTTTTTATAGAATAATATATATGCAGAAAAATATACATACCATAAGTGTACACTTGATGAATTTTCACAAACTAGACACACTTGAGTGACCACCACCCAGGTAAGAAGCAGAACATTACCAGCTTCCCGTAGCTTCATGCTCCCTTTCACTAACCCACTTCATGGGAAGCCACTCCAGTAGCACTGATTAGTTTTGCCTAGTATTTCACATAGATGGGGTCATACAGGACATATACTTTGTGTGTGGCGTCTTTCATTAACATCCTATTTGTGAGATTTGTTCGTACTGTTGTATACAATTGTGGGAAATTCATTCTCATTATTTAGTATTTAGTTGTGGTCTATAACACAATTTATATACCTCGTCTGCTGTTGATGGGTACAGACGTTTGGGTAGCTTCCAGTTTAAGGTTACTACAAATAGTGCTGCTGTGAACATTCTAGTGCATGGACAAATGCATATACATACACACATACATATGTGCATACATATATAGTTCTTTTGGGTAGATGCATAGGAATAGAATTGCTGGATCATAAGTTATATATACATTCGTTATTAGTAGATAATGCCAATTTTTTTTTGTCCATTTTCTTATTCTGTGCTTTTGTTTTAAGGGGTATTATAAAACATTAATAAAACAGTGTTTCTTCAAGTACATTCTTCAGACATTGGTAATAGTCGACCCTTAAATTTATGCCATCCATATCTAAATCTCTTAAGTTGAGAAAAGGGCCTGATTTTATTTAATCAATCACTTGTGATGGCTGTTGAAACATAGCATGCATGAGAATTTAGTTCTCATTATGGAAAATAAAAATTAGAATAAGAAAAAGCAATTGGTAATACTTTTAAGAAGCAATATAGTATAGAGGTTAAGAACTCAGACTAGCTCCAGACTGCCCAGGTTCAACTCTTATCTCTGCTACTGAGCAGTTGTGTGATGGCAGAGACTTTGCTTAGCTGTCTGTAGCTCAGACCTCTCCCCTGTAAAATGAGGATGACAGTACTACATACATACCTATGGGATTCTTTTAAGGGTTGAATCAAGTAATATATGTGATTAATAAATGTATAGTAATATATACTGAGTGGCCAGATTATTATGACCACCTGACGTTTGTAGGCCAATTAGCTATAATTTCGCACTGAAGTTGCTAGAGGGCCAGACCATTATAAACGTCAGAAAAGCACAACATACCTAAGTATTGTTGCTGATCAGGTTCATCCTATCATGTTGATGGCGTATCCCAATGGAGATGGCTTCTTCCAACAAGACAATGCACCATGCCACGGTGCTCGTGTTGTGCAGGAGTGCTTTCAAGAACATGAGGGAGACTTTACCTTGCTTGGGTGGCCCCCACAATCACCAGATCTCAATCCAATTGAGCATTTGTGGGACGAAGTTAAAAGAGCCATCAGGCAGCTGGTTCCACAACCATCAAATCTCACAGAACTGGACAGTGCTATTCATCAGGCCTGGTGTCAGATTCCTCGCATCACCTTTCAACATCTCGTGGAGTCAATGCCAAGAAGAATCGCTGCAGTATTTATTGAAGGCAAAAGGTGGCCCATCGAAGTACTGATGGGGTAGTCATAATAATCTGGCCGGTCATAATAATATGGCCACTCAGTGTATAATTAATACTATACTAGTAAAGTGCTTCAAAGAATGCCTAGGACACAATAAGTGTCATCTAAATGCCATTATCTTCTTTTCTATTGGTTGTTTTTGGCACCCATTTGGCCTTCTGGCCAGGGCTTAAGCTTTTATATCCACTGCTTCCCTATTTCCACAAGTTTAGCTGCCTGTCCAATTATGCTTCCAGTGTTCCTGCTTCGCACATCCTGCCTTCCTTGTCATGACTCTTTTATCTAGTATTGTAATTGGTGTTTTACTTGTTTGTATTACCCTATGGGTGCAATGTGCCAAAAACAACCAACAGAAACGAAGATAATGGCATTTAGATGGCACTTAGTATGTCCTTAGCATTCTTGGAAGTACTTTATAGTATTAACTAGTAGCCCGGTGCACGAAATTCATGCACATTAAAAGGGAATTAATTGCCCTAACCGGTTTGGCTCAGTGGATAGAGCATCAGCCTTCGGACTCAAGGATCCCGGGTTCAATTCTGGTCAAGGGCATGTACCTTGGTTGTGGGCACATCCCCAGTGGGGAGTGTGCAGGAGGCAGCTGATCGATGTTTCTCTCTCATCGATGTTTCTAACTCTCTATCCCTCTCCCTTCCTCTCTGTAAAAAATCAATAAAATATATTTTTTTTAAAAAAGGGAATTAATTAGCGGAGATATTTTAATATTGCTATTTGCCCTTTCTCTATAATAGAAGTGTGAGAGATGAAAGGAAATTAGTAAAATGTATATGAAAATAATATACAAATTTATTAATAAACAATAACAAAAGGATATAACAAAAACAGAGGCATGATATAAAAACAACAAAGACATATGAAAACAAAAACATGATATGAAAACAACAAAAACATGATATAAAAACAACAGTGATGCAAACAATGACTGATAAAGTGATTAAACTTATTCTAATATCTCCCTGTATACCACATTAAGAGTGAAAACACTTTCAGAGTGCTTGACTAATTTCCCTTGTGATGAAGTACTTAGAACTTTAACTGTAACATCACATGCTCTTCAAACTCGAGAGAAAGCAACATATAACTGACCATGTGCAAAAACGGGTTCAGGTAGGAATATGCCTACTTTGTCCAGAGTTTGTCCTTGTGATTTATCAATAGTCATCACAAATGCTGGCATCGCGGGAAACCGTCATCAAATCACTTTAAATGGGAGGCCAGATTCAGATGGGGACAAATTAATTCTTGGAATCAGAACAGCCTCTCCCTCTGCAGATCCTGTTAATACTTCAGCTTCGATAATGTTAGGTCGTAATCTTTTGATAATACATCTGGTACCATTACAAAGACCCCATTTACTATTGAGATTTCTCAATAGCATGATGATTGCACCCACTTTCACTTTTCAATTTATGACACGGCATTCCCGAAGGAGTAATACTATTAAGAAATTCGATGGGAAAATTTTCCTTTTCAGCATCATCTATGGAATCAATGGAATCATCACTCAAATATGTGTGAAAATCTCCATCGAGTATATCCAAATTTTCTTCATTTAATTTTTGAACATGCTCATTTTTTGGACAAAGAATTGCACGTTTAGATATATTTTTAATATTATCTATAGCAGTGGTTCTCAACCTTGGCTGCACATTAGAATCACCTGGGAATCTTTTTAAAATCCTGATTCCTGGGCCTCATCCTCTGGAAATTGTTTCTTTGTTATGGGGTGGGGCCACAACATCAGTAACAAAGAAACAGAATTAAAATTTTATTGTGGGGAGCCGCTACAGTGTTTTGGACAGGTTCAAGCCTTGGACTGATGAGAGGGCATAGTCCTCTCATTGCCACGTGCAAGTCCCAGCTTGGAGGGCAGGGCCCTCCCAGCACAATTATAGCCAACAGCTGTAGTTGTAAGCTTGAACCTATGGTCCGTACACATGGCCCCACGTGCCTGAGTGATGTAGGCTTGATAGAGTTCAGGTGCATGTAGTTGAGTAGGATTGAAACCCAGGAGAATGTTGTAAACATCTTGGTCACGCCTTTACTTTGCCTCGTAGCATCTGCTATAAAATAAGGGCATGTCTCTCAGAGAAGCAGTGTCCCACGGAGACCCAGCTTTCATTCTCTTGTCTGTCTTTTCTAAGCCTTTCAGCCGCCCCCCACTTAGGTTCACCCTTGGCTGTGCTGGTGC